CAAAGTCGTGATTCGCCAAATGAGTCATAAAATATATTGCTGAATGGCTTCACTTTAAATAATTGCCATTTCCCCGGTGTTCAATAAAGACCCTCCATCTTCAGTGAAATGCATCCTCTCTCAGATTGGCAGCCATCGTTCAGTTCAGTGGAAAGCTGTTTGCGGCCGCGACGGCGACACGCCGACGGATCCGTCAGACGGCGGTCAAAAGGTCGCGTTGTTAATTATATCTGTTGATGTCATTGATTATTTTAAAGGGCTTTTTTTTATGCAGAGCAGATTTAAAGCTGCACTGATCAGGTTTAAAGCCGCGCTGCGTCTTTACATAAACAAAGTCTCAAATGACTTTAACGTCACGGTGTTGCAACCCAACTCTTTCGCCTCTTCCGCTAATTGTTTTGGCTTTACGAATGGCGAACTCTGCGGTTACCACCGTGGTTTCAGGCTGCAGCAGTTTGCAGCTAAACAACTCTGCCAAACTCACTGTGTGCTAGCCTCTTAGCAGCAAACGTTAGCGACTAGCTGGTGAACATAACACTATAAATTGCTCGGTTGTTGGGTAATTTTATTATTGTGTACAATCAGGAGAATACCAGAGTTTGTCCAGATTCTCAGAGGCGAAGCACAAATGAGGGGTTCAGTGCCAAAGTGGGCCAACCCACAAAAAATTCAAAGTTGAGTTTTTTGCTTTTTTGATAAGTGTTCACGATCTACTAGTTTGTGGCAGTGTGGTCCAACCAACAGCCCACTAGTAACGTCACTATATGACTTTAAAGTTTGGCCCATATTGGTTTTGGCATCAAAATTTAGTGGCAAGCTGGACCAAGCCACAAGAATTGCTGATTATTCTATCGCAGGCGCAGGTAGTTGCACGTGTTTGTGATTCAAGATGGTGGACAGCGCGACCTCAAGCCCCGGGAAAACTCAACTCGTAGGTATGGTAAGATAAAACAACTTAATTAATCACCACCACAAAGCATCTATTTCTACTCCATGGTCCTCAGAAGTATCTCTAGTTCTTATGATGTAAACTCTTTGATGCTGTTTAGCAAGACTAAAAGTAGAAAATGTGGTACGGCCCGCAAGGAAAGGCAAAATTAAAACTTAAATAAGTCCTCACAAAGTAGTTGTTTCTATCTCTGGACAGTGTTGGAACATCTTTGGATGCATATAATGACTCCTCCAACAACCAGGAGTTTTTTTTAGCAATATAAATGTTTGACCCCATTTTTCTTTAAAACTAGTAAATGTAGTTTGGCCCACTTTGACACCGAACCCCCTCAAATGTACCAGCTTTTATAGTGAACAGAAGACTTAAGAATATTGTTTTATCGGACCCTCTGTGTTGTTTTGTAAGTTCAATGAGGAACGGTTTGACGGCCAACTTTCCAAGAACCTACTAGAAAAATGAAACCTAAAAACAAGAATGCGTAAACATAAAATGAAAAAAACGCTATTTAACATAGAAATTGATTTAACTGACAGTATTAAAACCACCTGTCAGTAGGTGGATACATGACGCAGCAGGTTGTTGAAGTTGATGTTGGAAGGAAGCAGGAAAAATGGGCAGTAAATTGGCAATGATTTGAGAAACGAGGAAAAAAGAGTTTGAGGTGTCCATTCAGCCTCCAAGGTCTCAATCCAATCGAGCATCTGGAGGATCTTCTGGGGAAAAAAATGGTCAGATCCATCGCTTAAAGCATCCACTGCCTGATACCACCAACTATCTGTGTGGTGGACGCATCATGACGTGAAGCACGGTGGTGGCCAAAAGTCCATCGATTCAACTTCACATGCAAAGTATTAGTGCAACTTTAAGACAAGTGTTATAGCAACGTTGATAAAGAACTTTTTTCTTCTGTCGGTCAGACAAAAGCAAACTAAAAACGAAAAAAAATTCAAAGAGGTACAGCACGCAGTGTGATAGTGCAACGAATCCAATTCCAGACAATCAAGTGGGAAGGAATAAAAAGCCTTTGTTAAATAAGTGGCAGTACATTATTAACAGAATGCCCCAATGCTTGTCGGCAGCACGTATACATAATGTATCGTATCTCTATTGTAGAGGCCAATAAAGGGAAGCGCCGCCTCACAGATACAGTAAATTAATTTCATATTGATACTGAACTGCAGGGGTTGCATTTCATTTGTCTTGTATGTGTCTGAAAAGAATAAAAGGGGGTCATGCAAGTAAAACCCCCGCCCCGTCCTCTTCTGTGTTATTTAAGAATTCCCTATTGTATGATAATCGCACAAAGCCAACAGAGTGCAGCGCAGCGTACGGCATCAGCCAATAGAGACGTTTGTTTACTGGGTATTGTAGAAGTATAAAATATTCAACATAAGGTTTTGCACTGTTCATTCTTTATGGACAAAGTTATGACTCATGCCTGCCTCACGGATGGCAGCAGAAGTTATTAAAAGCAGCGGGGTGTTCGCTGTCTTTGTTCGCATGCCGCAGCGCAGTCGTCATGCTTTATCCCTCAAACTCTCAGCTGGATTGAGGTCTGTGCTCTGACTCGTCCACTCCAGAACATTCACCTTCTTGTCTTTAAACCATTTCTGTGTAGCTCTGCCTGTTTGCTTTGGCTCATTGACTGCCGGATAACAAATCTCCCTCGCCACAGTTCTCTTGCGTCGGGTTGTCCTCCAGGATTTCCCTTTA